GTAAGCATGCAGTAAGTAAATCGAGCCCCTCCTCAGGGAACATTTCTGCACAGCACCACATGACCCCCCCCCCCCCAAAGTCCAGCACCCAACATCGCCACACAAGACTGACATGACTCCATTTTTCTCCTCATACAGGTTTAATCTTTCTCTTTGGAAGAGGGTGATGGTTGTGGTTCTGTCGGAGGCTTCATTTCTAACGTCACTGTTTCTTTCCTCTGTTGTCGCTCTCTCTGTTGGCAGTTTACAACCATCAGGAATCTCATCTACGTGTGTGGTTCCTTGGACTGATGTGATTAGTTTTTTTATTAGGAATCAAATCATGGTTTTTAATCAGAAGAATCCTGCATTGATTCACGTAGGGTGTGCTTGATCCATGACCCTACTTATTAGAAGCCAGCAGAGCTTTACACCCGTCGGCCTCAGCGGCTGCTGGTGTCCAACATTTACACGCTGCTTCTGATCGGAATCTGCTTTCAGAGGTTTTCAGCGTGGTTGGTCACCTGCAGTGGTACCAAGCCATCCACACTTCATAGTTAATCATTGTCCACATTAATCCTGAAATACTTCTCACATGGCAACAGACAGCCTTGTCATGAGTGGTTTTACTTCACTCTACATTTAGCTGGGGAAAATCAAATGTACGTCTGATTAACCTGCCTCTGATTGTGTATGATTATTGTGTACCTGTACAGATGGTGACGCAGATGGCAATGGGAGCAGTACAGGTGTGTGTGAGCGTACAAACTTCTGTTCTTAAATTTAGACATTTGTGATACTTGTGCTTTGGGGTAATTTCCTTTTGATCCTTATATTGATCTTGCTGTTTGTCACATGCACTTTCCATTAGCAGTTCACAGTTTTATCAGATAAACACTGACCATAATAGACTTTCTGTCCAGAATCAGTGTAGTCAATAATTCTAAATTCAAATGTGATTAAAAAAAATGGTCGGACAGTTGATGGTTGTGGGGAAGTATTACATGTTCAATGTCTGTGTCAGACCAAGATCATGAGATTTGAACTGCTCAGGCATTCTACTGTCGGGGAGTGATTTCAGTCAGACCTGTTTCCAGTCTCCTTTTGTTGTCTTCATTTGTCTTTTTTATTTCCCTGTCCCTGTGTTCCTTTGTTGTCTTCCTGCTCGTGTAGAGGATGTTGTCGCCAACCCTAACAAGCGCCAGAGACAACCTGCTCTGCTGGGTGACCACCCTCCTGATTATGGTAAGTCTCCCAGGGAACAAGAAACCCCATTGAGACACGCCCACCCATTGAAACTACTTATCACATAAAAGTTTAGGACGACGGCTTTTGTCAAATAATGTGAAACCAGATCAAATGGAAACAACTGAACAAACACGTAAAGCTTGGTTCAGACTTTCAAGTGTGAAGCTGAGGTCCGATAAAGGGACCAAATCTATTTCTTTAGCCAGTGACGGTGTTTTAAAGAAATGGATTGTTCATCAGTACTTTTTCCTCTTCAGGAGGTTACCACGGCTATGACGAGAGCTACGGCTCCCCTCCCTATGAGGGTCGACGTATGGGTCCACCAATGAGAGGGCGCGGAGCAAGAAGCTATGGGCCCGGCTACGGACCCCCTCCTCCTCCTCCTGGCGAGTACGGTGCTCATGCTGATTCTCCGGTGGTCATGGTGTATGGATTGGAACCCGTCAAGATGAATGCAGACCGTGTCTTCAATATCTTCTGTCTCTATGGCAATGTAGAGAGGGTCAGTATATCAATGGGTCTATATCCCCTGTGATGGTAAAGGAAATCTAACTTGTAATTAACAGCTTTGTCAGGCAAACATTCATGTGAAATCATAGCGCCACACCAAGTTGCTGTAAACATTTTAAAAAACAAGATATTGTAAGACTTCTTAGAGAAATGTGGATATCTTGCAAAATAAACACATCAAGAAAGTGAAACTACAGAGAGAAGATGTTGCCGTGGCACCAGGTGTGTTTATGTGCCTGTCTGTCTGGGAGGTTTCATCAGAGCTGGACTCAAGAAGCTCAGATCACAACACACAGACACACAAAGGGAGTGCAACTATTTACTCAACAGAATCTGTTCATAAGAAAAACTGTCAGCTGCTGTTTTAATGTTTAAAGTCTCATGTGTGTATAAATGACGTGGTTCTGTGAATAGTTTCAGTCATGTTTCATCTTGTGTCTCACACATATAATAACAGACATCGACAGACGCCGAGCTAATGTGACAGTAAAACCCAGGGACTCGAACTGTGACCTTTTCTAACCAAAGTCCCTTCATGTACTAACTTGATTCTTGTTCCTGGTTTGTGCTCATGGTTCACTGTTTAAAAGAAATGTAATGACATGGGTGTGGCTTTGCTGCATTTTGGAATTAGGAAACATGCACTGAAATGCGAGCCACCTTGAACCAGACAACCTTGCTCTGGGCCGTTTGCACACCTGGTGTGTTTGTACAAAAAAGATCTTTGTCTCAGAATGGAGCTCTACTGCACAAACCTCATAATTGTTGTGTGACACTATTCTCAGGTGAAATTCATGAAGAGCAAGCCTGGGGCAGCCATGGTGGAAATGGGAGACTGCTATGCTGTAGATCGTGCCATCACTCATCTCAACAACAATTTCCTGTTTGGGCAAAAGCTGAATGTGTGGTGAGTTTGATTCCCACGGTTGTGTTCACGCTTCCTCTGTGAGGCATCACATTATCAGCACTCCTGGTTTCCCTCCTGATCTGAAGATGAATAGATTTCTAACCGTGTTGATATCCATCCCTGCAGTGTGTCCAAGCAGCAAGCCATCGTCCCCGGTCAGTGCTACGAGCTGGACGACGGTTCCAGCAGTTTCAAGGACTTCCACGGCTCCAGGAACAACCGGTTCACTTCGCCAGAACAGGCTGCAAAAAACCGCATCCAGCATCCAAGCAACGTGCTGCACTTCTTCAACGCCCAGCCAGACGTCACACCAGAGGTTTTCTCTCAGGTCTGTAGAAAAGTTGTTTCTAACACGCACACACCCATTTTTCTTCTGTGTCTACTCGGTTCAAATTAAATCATCACCAACAATCATCAGGAGTGATGCCGCACAGTCTCTAACGCATGTTCTCTTTACAGATTTGTGATGAGCTCGGTGTCAAGGTTCCCATCAATGTCAAAATGTTCACAGGAAAAAGTAAGCTGCTACCATTCTGCTCATTAAAATATTATCACATATAGAATATTTATAAATGTGACTGCTGTTATATTTTATATTCAAGTTCAGTATCTTTACTTTACCCACAAGTAGAGTAACAATAGAGTTTTTCAATTAAAGAAATTAAACCAGGGAAACAAATAATGAGAAACCTGCCCCCTCCTCACACTGGATGCAGATATTTCTCTGTTTGCAGTGTGTGTTAAGTTTGATTCCTCCACCCACCAGGTGGCGCAGCTCCCAGTGACCGCAGCGCTTCAGGTCTGCTAGAGTGGGAGTCCATCAACGACGCCATGGAGGCTCTCGCCTTGATGAATCACTTCCAGATGAAAAACGCAAGTATGTGTAAAAACACTTTTAACAGATGTTTGATCAACATGTCACAGATTAATTCTGTCTTTACAAGAAACGTGGTGATAACGTAGCTCTTACGAAAGAAGCTACAGCAGCAACATAAACACGTTGTCTGTGATGTCATCAAATCCGTTGGGACACGTGGCCAGGGAATTCTTCCTCGTGTTGTGTGGACTATTAACTTGAACTATTGGCTACGCTGCCCCTGGGATTTCTGGTGGTACTGCTCCACTTGTCCGTATGTGTCAGCTCTCATAAGACTTAAATATGTGAGGATACAGCGGGATCATGTCCACAGGGGAGCGAGTAGGACTGTTGATGATGTTGAACATGTGACAGACGTGAAACTGACTGATTCCTCTCTTTTCTCTCACCCACTCTCTCTCCAGCTGGTCCTTACCCTTACACCCTCAAACTGTGCTTCTCCACCGTTCAGCACGCCAACTGAACCTTTTAGCCGGGAAGCCGAAGATTGGTCCGCCATTCCCATGTTCACTTGTACTTAGACATGACTGCTTGCAACAACAGACCTGGGAAAATTGATTTTCAAAAAAACTCTGAAAATACTGTGAAACGTTTTCTTTCACAATGAGATTAATCCCTGAAGTACAAATTCCTTATATTTGGTATAAAGCAGATGTAACAAGTGCTAACATTTAAAGTTTTTGATATTTATGCCCCAGATGTGGTTGATAGAGTATCAGTACCCGTGTGTCTATTAAGTTGTCCTTTTTACTTTTTGTATTATGCTTATACAGTAGCCTGTGAGGAAGTGTACGTGACAGACAAGGTTTTACGCTCAGGTGGCGCCGTGGCAGAGGGCAACGTGGTTTTTGTAAGAGCTGTTTTTTGAAACTTTTATTATGGCTCACATTTCTTTTTCTTTTTGTGTTATTTTAATTGCTGCCGATTCAGTTCTGCAAGAATTTTGTTCTAAGAAAATAAAAAAAATTCAATATAAAAGTTGAGTTTATTGTGAGTTTTTCAGAATGTTGTTTATTTCTGTTCTGTGTCTTTGGTAGACGGGTTAAAATGAACCTTTATTTTATTTTAGAACAAATCTCACTAAAAGTGACACAAACAAAGATAAAGAGTTTTTAAACTACTCTCGGGTCAGAGTCCTCGGTGCTCGTCTGTTGAGACCTCGCCTGTGGATGTTTGTTCTCATCCACACCGGGCGTCAGGGTTTCCACCTGAACCTCAGACCTTCATCTCAAAATAACTTGATCGTCTCATCTAACTACATCCTCTCTAACAGTCTCTCACTCATGCAGACATTGTCCAGTAGAGATTCTGTGTTTCAGGGTTTATCTCTGCTCATCGACTTCACATTATTTTCCTCTGAGTCATTCTGAGTCTCTGGTATTCCTTCACATCTGTGGAGCTTGAGCTCCATCTTAAATTAGCAGAATGTCTTTATTTCATTTTTCAGGGGAGCGCTTTCCGATTTGACTTTCCACTTTGAGCTTCATCGGCCACCGTATCCAGCTGTGAAGGAGGCTAAAGCTAAGCTAGCTGCAGGGTCACTGAAGTGTGTTGTCACTGATTACAACCCGCAGTGTGACGTCACAGATGTTGTGTGTTCCTGCTCCTGTAGAATCCAGTGAACGTCATCACCGAAGATCTGAGACAGGACGTCGGTGGTTCTGTGGAGCGTCAGTTAGCTCCAGGCTAACTCCAGGCTAACTGCAGCTAACTCCAGCTAGCTCCAGGCTAACTGCAGGCTAACTGCAGCAGGTGGACTCTTCTCTGATCGATCGTTGAACTCTGAGGATTTTACAACCAGCGATGTTCAGCCTCAGATCAGCTGTCAGCAAATGTAAGTGCCACAGGTTCGTGTTTCTGTCGTTAGCTTGTTTCTTTCATCAGCTGTTTCCTGTTGTTAGCTGTTGTTAGCTGTTGTTAGCTGTTAGCTGTTGTTGTGTTGTTTAGCTGTTAGCTGTTGTGTAGCTGTTGTGTTGTTCAGCTGTTTGTGATGTTGACAGATGTGAACCCTGCAGATGTTTGTCAGCTCCGTGTGGTTTGATCCTCGTGTCTGAGGTCAACAGGAGATCTGAGTGTTTCTAGGTGAAAGGTCACAACAGGAAGCTAATGTTAGCTTAGCAATAACAGCCAGTGTGAAAACGAGCCCAGTAAAATAACTTAATGTAAAATGTGAACATGTTGTTTCTCTTGTTCATTGATTAACTAGTTGTTGAAGCAGAGAAAAGTAGTTTCCATGAGTCTGACATCAGTTTTTAACTGAAGCTGTTGGTTTGTTTCAGATTCTCAGATGTTTGATGCTTTTACTTTTTAAACTCATGATAGAAAACTTGTTTTAATCTTGTTTTAAAACTTGTAAAGTTTGAGGGAAACCCAAACTATTATAAATATTCAAACAAACCATCCACAGTGAAAATAATTGTAGTGACATTGTTTAAAGTCATAATGATCAAATCATAAATCATGAACTGGGGTCAGAGCTTCTCGTATTTCTCTGACCTTGTGTAGACGTACATGTATTTATTCCACGGATCCTAATCATCAGAGTTTCATGGCCTCAGAAGAATTCTGTGTCCTGCTGTTGTCTTCAGTTTTGCTCAGGATCACCTCGTCTTCTTATCGTTCTGTTAATTTCTCTCAGACCGAGGTTTGTGGACCTCCAGCCAGTCTGTGGTCAGAGCCATGTCGTCTTCAGGCGGTCCCACGTCTCCGTTCACCACGCTCGCCGTCAGTCACCCGGCCAAGTCCGTCACACATGTGGAGCTTCATCGTCCTGACAAACTCAACGCCATGAACTCAGCGTTCTGGAGGCAAGAGTCTTCTTCATATATATTTATATATATTTATTAGCTTTGGTCACAGCCGTTAGAAACATTCAAAACAAATGTTGAATCATAATGAAACTAGTGACAAATGTTTGGATGGAAATCCATGTTTAATTATATTTTGAATTAAAAACATGGAAGAATTTACCTTCAACAATTTAAATGTAGTTTTACTGCACAAGAAAGCCACACTGTAGTTTTCCTTGGTTTACAGTACGTGTGTACAGAGTATTGTGCAAATATTGTTTATAGAATAAACTGAAAATGTGATTATCAAAATGAGTTCGTAGATATTCTGAGAGTCACTGAGGCGACAGCAGAATCACAAACGTGTCATCAGTTCATTTATTAGAGACACTAATGATACTGAATAATTTAATAGCAGCTTCCAAGTGAAAATGAGAAACACTGGAATTGATTTATCAGCTGACAGGACGGTTTGTTGTTTTCTTCTCTGGCAGTGAGATGGTGGATTGTTTTAACGATCTCGCCGCAGACCCAGACTGCAGAGTCGTGGTCGTCTCTGGAGCAGGGAGGCTCTTCACAGCTGGTGGGGATCAGACCGTTCTCCCCTTTTCATTTGTGCAGTTTTTTAATCATAGAGTTGAGTTTATTGATGTTGCCGCTGCCTGGTTGTCCAGGTATTGATCTGATGGACATGGCCGGCGACGTGCTCCAACCTCAGGGCGACGACGCGGCCAGAATCTCCTGGAACCTCAGAAAAAAGATCGCCAAGTATCAAGAGACATTCTCCGTCATAGAGAAGGTGAGAAGAGCCGGAGATGGGTTCCGTTCATCACAGCGAGGAATCATTAGACGGATTTATCATTTAAAACAACATGAAAAAAGAACGCAGACGATTGTGTGATCCAGAGAATATCTGAAGTTATTCTAATAATCATTCCTTAATTGTTGTTTTCTTCTCATAGTGTCCAAAGCCTGTTGTCGTGGCCGTGCATGGAGCCTGTATCGGAGGAGGTGAGAATCACAGACTACAAACAGAGTTGGTTCAGGTTCCTTCTGACGAGGATGTGCGTGAAAGTCAGATGAGAAATTCCTGTTAATCTCAGATTCTGTCTTTTAACAGTCGGAATCTTTTCCTTTGATTCTTTTCACCTCGGTTTCTCCAGAGTAACTTCGGCTCAGTTCTTTTTTTATTACTTTCTTTTATATTTTGCCGTGTTCATTTATTTATAAGTAATTACAGATGACAAATCGTAGATTATATGAAATGATTTGATTGTGAATCAGAGGAAGTGAGTTCACTGTGGACGCTCTGCTGCAGGTGTCGACCTGATCACAGCCTGCGACATCCGCCTGTGCACCCAGGACGCCTGGTTCCAGGTGAAGGTAAAAACATGTCAGTCAATTCTCTGAATTTTGAAAATGTGACGATGATGAAGATGATGAAGATGAAGAGTCAGTGAAACAGATGAGAATTATTTATCTTTGTCAATTTCAGTGCAAATGTTTAATTTTAGGAAAATAAATACATAAATCATAAACTGAAGAATCTTTCTTTTCTTTTATTTTGTGAAGCATGAGTCCACTGCTCCCTGTATTGAAGGACATGTGATGTTTTCTAATATATTTGAGAATGATCAGACTTTGTGTTTGACAGGAAGTTGATATTGGACTTGCAGCAGACGTTGGGACGCTGCAGAGACTCCCCAAAGTCATCGGCAGCCGCAGGTAAACTGAGAACTTAAACCTGGTGTGTGCAGTGCAAAGCGTGAAACAGTAACTCCAGTGTGACGGTTATAAGTTAGCAGTATCAGTACTGTTAAGTTTTTTTGTAAAATGTACGAGGTTACTGTTGTATTCTATGTAGTAAAGTACTACGATTTTAAAAGGGTCATGGTAAAGTAAGTAAAACAACATAGTTTATAGTTTAAAACCCTTCATGTAATAAGTCCTGGCTGCTCTGTCTCCAGCCTCGTAAACGACTTGGCTCTGACGGCCAGGAAGATGTACGCAGATGAAGCTAAGAGCAGCGGCCTGGTCAGGTAAACACCTCGTCCACAGACGATCCTCTCACAGCCTCGGTTCAACGTTTCACTACATTCAGGAGCAAAATAGAGACGAAGGCTCATCAGTGTATTTCCTGTGTTTAGCTGCAGATTTATGTCGAGGAAAGATTTAACTACACATCAAACCTTTGATTGAAGCGACACGTTGGACATTTTAAAATCCACCACACGTTCTCTGTGCAGCCGAGTGTTTGCAGATAAGGAGGCCATGATGTCCGGGGCGGTGGAGATGGCCGAGGAGATCGCCGGACGAAGTCCTGTCGCTGTGCAAGGCACCAAAATCAACCTCATCTACTCCAGAGACCACAGCGTGGCAGAGGGACTGGACTACATGGTAACATCCCCACATCCCTGCTCAGCATCATCCTGCCTCGGTCACTGGATCTCACTTTCTTTCCCCCCCCCCCCCCCCCCCCCC